GAAATGCATTAGAATTCTAGTGAATTACCTGGAAAGTAAAAATCAACTCACAAAGAAAGCAGAATATATAATCATCAGATAAAAAGTTCAATTCTTGAGATAATTTTACTTATGTTCTTCTCGAAAATAAAAGTTATGGTGAAGTTTAGTGGAATCCAAGCAGAATGTACAGGCTCAAGGAAACAAAAATCCCCCCTTTTATTTTGTGGTAATTGGTAAAGCAAAAGACAGGATAGAAAGACCCATTTACCTAAGAAGAAAATTCCATAAAAACTCCGGGAAATCCACAGAATTCCAGCAAAGTTCATCAATAAATTTCAGAGAAAAAGGGTCAAATAAAAAAAAAGAAGAAGTCCCAAATAACAGACACTACACCCACTGACCTCTCTAAATTCCTTCTAAAAAACAACATATTAATCAAATAAAAGAAAAAAGAAAGAAAGAAGAAGAAGACATCATAGGCAACAAAAAAACCCAGTAAATTCCAAGAAAAACAAATACTCAATTCTAAATATATAATCAGAAAAGAAAAAGCACATGCTTGATAAAAATGAAATTCTAAAAATTTTAAAAATTTTGAAGAAAGAACAATAATTTACTTACCCAGAACTAGAAAACTCAATGAGCTTGCCGGCGTTGGAGAAGATGACAAGAGCAAGCTCAGCATCGCAGAGAATGGAAAGTTCATTAGCCTTCTTAAGCAACCCAGAACGCCTCTTGGAGAATGTGACTTGCCTGCTGTTTGCATTCTCTATCCTCTTTATCTCTATTTTCCCTCTACCCATCTTCTTCCCTCCCCTCAATTCTTTACCCCCAAAACCCAAATTGCCAAATGATTCAGGAGAAAAAAAAATTTTCTTTTCTCTTTATTATTATTATTTTTTTACCTTTTCCTTGTTTGAAATTAAATTGTGTGGAAAAACAGAGCTTTGTTATTTGGAAAATAAAAATGGATTGCTAAATTTAGAGAAGGGGATGATAAAGGGAGGGTCTTGGACCGGAAAGCGGCAAACTTGCATGGCTTTGCATTCTATTTGGGTTGTTGTGCTTGCATGATTCCTTTGCCACATCTGGAGTGTTTAGCTCTAGGTGCCTTTGGGGTCCACTCACTGACCCAGCTTTTGTTCCTACTCCTACTTTCTTACGTGGGTGGAAGTTTCAATTTTTTATTTTTATTTTCATTTTTTTAAAAGAAAAACTAAGTAGTAATACTACTAAAATGATTTCATTTTCTGCAAGATGTATGGTAATGGAACTGAAGTTAATGGTGAAAAGTTTAAATCATTTTTCTGTTTTCTGCTGTTTTTAGAGGGGGTTCCTTTTTCTACTTTCTGGGGCTGGGTCTTTGTTGGTTACAATTGCGGGGTGTTTCTTCTTCTTCTTCTTTTTCCTTTTTTTTTTTTGGTAAATGTTTCTTCTTCTTTTAGTCTGCTAGATTGTAGAGGGTTTTTAAATCTTTTTTACTATTACTCATTTTGGAAAATAGTAATGGTTACCTTGAATTTACCTTTTTTTTTTTTTTAATTGCTAGTTTTAGGAGCTCTTTAATTACCATATCAACTTGGTGAAGCTGCCAAATACAGAGGTTTATTTAAGGCAGGGCAATCCTTTTTCAATTTTGGTCCTTTCTGAGGATATTTTACTGTAAATTCCCATTTGGATTTCAAAATCTTTTCCCAGGTTTAGTATTTTGACTAGATATGGTTAGTTAAAAACATACCAAATGTGGGGAGTAATAGTAACTATATTTGTACATTAACTTGGATATTATATTATATTTTAGGAAGGGTGAGACAGCTCCATCTTCCATGCCTCCATTGCTATATTTAGCATATACTTTCCCACGTCAACTTACTATATTCAAAAAAATTAATTAAAAAAATCAATTCTTTTGAGTGTTGACCAAAAACTTTCTTTAGGTTAGATTTTGTTTGCTTGTCTGCTACCAAACCCCGCGTTTGACCAGCAGCTTACTATTTTAGGATTTTCTTCAAGACACCTAGAAAAACATTATCATCTTCCTTTTATGATAATCATAGATAAGGAGATTAATTCCTTTCTAGGCAATCTTAAAGGTACATTCTCCATATCAGTATGGTGTATTCAAAGAAACTAATTTCCTTAGATGTTGGTTTCAAAACTTAATCTACAAAATGATGCTTACTTACCAATATTATAGTAAAAACAATCTCAATCATCACTGAAGAAAAAGCACTACTTGAAAACTATATTTCATTGAATGTAATAATTAGAATCAACATCAAACCTCTATGGAACATGCCACCACTGGGCCTAGGGGTACTCAATCCACTAAGTTTTCTGTTTATGTTTCTAGTCTTTGGGTTTAACAGCTAGCTACATTGTAATGTATCAAAGCACAACAATTTTGACATTGTTACAACAAGAACAGGAGGACCCTTCAGCAGTGCCATAATGGTATATAACAAATGCTTAGCGGTATAGTGTTGAAAGGTTGTAAGTTGTAACCAGTACCAGATTAAATAAATGGTACAGTACACGACTCCACCTTAACTTACTCCCTATAAAATATCAGCTGTCAAAGGATAGGTGGGTACATTACTTATCTCCGACTCATCCAGCTTTTTGCATACATAAATGAAGTGACAATCTGGATCTTCCAAAACAAACCCTGGGGGAAGTAGGCCCTTTTCGGTTGTGGGAACAGGTTCCAAATATGACTTCATTGATGAAGAACCTGCAGGTCTCTTGAAATCTGGTCTGGCTGCAAATGTTTCAACAAATAGATTAAAAGGAAACCATGTTTCCCTTCTCTTCGGTGAGCAATAGAGCCTCTAACAATTAGAATTTGTTTAAAAGGGTATGCACATACACAAACAGTAGAAGACAAATTTATAGCACCTTAACTTTCTGAAAACTCAGTTAAAAAAATGCAAGGAAATCAATGGACATGAATAAAAATATGGATACTGGATTGCTGACAAGATTGTTATGGCTCTTGTGCGGTTGTACCAAATAAAAAAACATGATGGCATGGCAAATACAGGTAAATATTTGGGAATCTGGTTTCCCAGATCTTAATGGGCCGTGTTTTTTGATCAATACTATTTCCTTTTTTACCAAAAAAAAAAAATACAGGTAAATATTTGATGAAAGTAAGTACCAGAAACAGAACCAAACATGTTATTTACAATTCAAATTCGCTAAATATATATCTATCCATGTACCAAAGATCTAAAATAAGGATGCATTTGGAAGCCATATAAGTTTTAAGTGATCATAGAAGATTAAAAAGAAAGGAAAATTCCCACGCAGCTAATAGAATAGAAACAGTAACAGAAACTTACGTATGACATACAGCTCAATTTTCCAACTATATGCTGGTCCGTTCACATGCAGCATCCTCACTGTTGGGTCACCATAGGTTACCTGTTAATGGGAATTTTAAAAAAGTGTTATTTTTTGAACTTTAGAATAAAGGAATGGGCAGAGAGAGACAGAGTGTCATCGTTCAATAGATAGTTACCAACATAAATGTCCCGCCAGGTTTAAGAAGCCTACCAAGAAAACCAACAGAAAAAGAAAAGAAAAGAAAGAATCAGCAAGTTGAACAAATAGGTGCATTGCAACAGCATTATAAGGATTTAATTTTTTGAAAAGACCAACAATGGGTGATATATATATATATACACACACACACATACACACACAAAAAGTAAGAGACTAAGGCTTCCGGTGAATCAAACTGAAATCAGAAATTCAATTTATAAATGTCAGTAAGTCAACAACCTGCTCACTTCACCCAGCATTCGAGCAGCACTAATTGCAGCATCGGTGCCACACTAAAATCATAAAGGCAATAGTGTAAGAATTAGGTGTTGTAAGATAAATGAGTTTAACAATGAGAGCATTTGGAAAGACATCATACCATCAAAGAATCAAGAGTTCCTAGATCGAATTTCAATGGCTCATCAGAACAGATTCAGCAGCATCACAAGAATGTCTCATCAATGGAAGCACTATCTTAAGAGGGAAATCAGCAACTTTGGATGAAGTGTTGGAAACAAGGGGGATCATACCTTTATCAATGACACTGTCAAAAGACTCATCTGGAAACAAACTCATATCCCTAACATCCATTTGCATGTCTATTTAGGTTAGTTAAGGAACAGCATAAAAAATGACAATTCAGAGGAAGGGGGGAAAAAACAAAGCTTTCAGAGAAGAAAAGTGGAGATCAAGTTCTCTTAGCAGGATACATTTCAGCTGAGGAATGTCCTCATATTTTCTCCTCATCAGGTCAATAGCCACAGAGGAAATATCAATGTTCATTACATCTTTGTATCCATCCTTGACCATGTCCTCCGACATAACTACAATCATGGACATTGGAAATCAGCACGGAAAAATTTTACATTACTAATATTCAAAACAAGCACATGGAAATTTTAGAGTACTACGTTAAAGAAAGAGTAGAACTTTAGTCCTCAATGACTGACTGCAATTCTCCCAAGTCCCGACTAGAGAAGAACAAGTACCAAACTTTCTCGTTATTGCACCACGGAATGGAACTTGGAAATCAATCCACAATCAAAATCAATATAGTTTTTCTCATTTCTGGTTCTTAACAAATCCAATTCTATAACTTTCGATAGTTGTAGCTCACTTTCACAGCAACAAGCATGCACAATCGTGAATAATATCACAAAAAACAATCCCAAGAACAAAAACAGCAGGAAAAAGAAAGTAATAAAGATATAAGAAGAAAAAAAAGAAAGCTAAGGTGGGTGGTAAGAAGGAATTACGGGCATTTCCACAGCCGACCATGAGCACGCGAGCAGAGATGGGGACGTACTTGCGAACAAAGGGGCGGAGAGATGAATACCGCTGGTACCAGTCGAAAGCACCGCCCCGCTCTGCCTCGTACCTGGCGTCCCAGTAGGGGGCATCGCCATAGTTGTAAGTGTTACAGCTCGACACATCTCTGAACATCTTCTCTCTCTCTTCCTGTTTGCAACAACACCACTTCTTTCGGAGATTTGGTAAAGACAGAAACTTGAAGCTGGCGGTTAATGGGCTGAAGATGTCTTGGGCTCTCAGCTTCAAAGGCCCAATATTTCTTGTTTCCAACTGAGACCGTATGTGCTCCGTTTGGTAATTGAATTGAAATATGTTATATTATAATTATAATTTATTTTGATATTTAATTA